AGAGAATGAGAGAGAGGGGAGTGAGGGTGGAGGCAGTTCAGACCAAAGGCCATCCAGCTTCCAGCTTCCAGGGGGTGGGCTGCCTGAGTCCCTCCCTACACGCTGAGCGCTGAGGACCTGCTCAGAACCACAGCCAGCCTGCGACAGCCCACTGAAGAGCAGATTCCGTTCCTGACCAGAGCAGCCCTGAAGAAAACACTATAGTAAGTTGAGCCTGCAAGGGCTGGGGATAACTGGGCTCAGTGAGGTTGGAGGAGCCAGGGGTGCCAGAGTGAGATGGGGGGCCCTGCAGAGTCAGGGAGAGGAGAGAAAGGGAAGACCTTTGTACCTTGAGAAGAAGAACCTGACCCCTTGCTTGCAACACACTATCAAAGTCCCTTTCCCCTGAGTTCTACCAAGGACTGGGACTCCCAAATGGAGTATTCAAGGTGGGAGGACAGAAAAATGCTATGGTTGATGAACTCTTTCCAAGCTGCTTGCTGGTGGTCATCTAAGGATTGATAGCCAGTGGTCATGTGGAGGAAACCCTAAATGGTGTTCTTGGGAGGGAGGGATCTCTAGAATGTAGGGGTTAGTGGAGGGGTATATGGATGAGATGCAAATCCTGCCTTTACTTACAGGTCCCCACCATGGCCAGTGCCCTGGAAATGCTCTGGGATAAATACACTTGGGCCTTAGAAAACGGAGGTAGGAGAAGCTGTCATGTCCTCTGTGTGATTAGCCACATCCCAGTGTCAGGCCCTGGGCGGGGAATGAAGATGGTCTCTGGAAGCTGGCTCAGAACGGGGTCTAGGGAACAGGTGGACATGGGGGCCAGCTCAGCTGTCACCCTTTCCCTTTTTCAGACCCGAGGACGGATTCCTGGTTCCTGGTACACTCACCACTCCCTATAACCCTCCTCTTGGTCACCTACCTTCTCCTGGTGGTAACTGGTCCTCGCTTCATGTCCCAGCGGGAGCCTCTGCGTCTGGTGGGACCTCTGGCCATCTACAACCTGGGCCTGGTGCTTCTCTCGGGGTACCTGTTCTATGAGGTAAGCCCAGAGGGAGAAGCCTGGAGAGTTCTATGGTCTCTTGCCTCTTGGGGTGCCATGGGGATAAATGAACCCATGCTTTTACATGGAAAGCATTTTACATGGTCCAGTTTAGGCAGTGTTTCTGACTTCACCTTAAAAAACAAAACAAAACAAAAAAAAACCTAAGAAAACAACAGACTGAACCAGTGCTTTGTAGGGTTTTCCGTGGTTGATTTTTCTGGAGTGAATCATCAGGCTTTTCTTCTGAGGAACGAGTGGATTGGTTTGAACCACCAACTTTTCAGTTAATAGCTAAGTACTATAACTGCATCATCTAGAGACTCTCAGCTTCTCATCACCTAGCTCCCTCTCCCACTTCCTTAATTGAAAAAGTGAAAGTCAATGACAAAGGAGAATGGAATTCATTGTCTCTCCCACCTGTAAACCAGAATCCTCTCAGGCCTTTTCCCAATCCCCAGATGTTGTTCCTTCTAGATACCTCTCTGTTGTGTACCATCAAGGTGGATCGTCCCATAGCTGACTCCTCCAGCAGGTTTTCTGAGGCATTTAATCACACAGGAGGAGATTGTCCATCCTTCTGCAGAGCAGCTGGGGAATTCGAACTACATGGCTCTGGGACTGTAGCACAGGTTCTTGCCACTTGGCCCCTGGACCGCCTTTAGATGGCTCTCTGTAAATCGTGATTCACTGTCCACTGCACATCCATCCAGCGCCAGGCTGTGTGGGGTCTGCAGGCTCATTGCTGGATAAACAGCACCTGCCCTCCAGGACAGCAAGGTATGGGAATAGGTGGTTATAATCCACTGTGCACAAGAGACAGACAGGCTGCTCTGGGGACAGTGAGTAACCCAGCCTGTGTGACAGGGCACGAGGTCAGGGAAAGTTTTTCAGAAAGTAGTAGTACTTGCTGAAGTTTTAAGCACTTATTATGTATGTATCCCTGGGTGGTAAAAATTGGTGAACACTTGACTTCTAAGAGTATGTTTACTGGCCAAACTCATATACAGGAACCTTGGTAGAAAGGCCTGCTTATCTGCTTTGAAAGGTCACAGCTTTGAAACCCTCGTGGAGCACATTTCTGTCCTACACACCTGAGGTTGCCATAAGGTGGAGTTGATTCAGTGGTAACTTGTTTATTATGTTGTTGTTGATGACGATGATGATGTTTATTATCAGCTGACACAGTTGAGTGACAGTGTCAGTCTGGAGACTAAGCTGCACCTGATCCAGGCCATGGTCTTCACAATTACTTGCTATGCATCAGAGAGCTGGACAGTGACTAAGGATGACAGAAGAATTGATGCCTTTAGTTGTGGTGAGGGAGAAGAGTTTTGAACATACCATGGACCGCCAAGAGAACAAATAGGTTTAACCTGTTGTTGTTGTTATGTGCCATCGAGTCACTTGCGACTCACAGCAACCCTATGTACAAGAGCCTTCAACGCCATTCTATCCTGTGCCAGCCTTGCCATCTCCAACACACTCATTCCCACCACTCCACTCACAGAATCAATCCATCTCATCGAGGGTCTTCCTCTCCCGCACTGTCCCTCCACTCTCCAAACATGATGTCCCTCTCCAAGGACAAGTCCCTCCTTGAAACATGCCCAAAGTATGTCAGATGAAGCTTCAGAATCCTTGACTCCAAGAAACACTCCAGCTTCACCCTCTCTAGAACAAACCTGTTTGTTCTCCTAGCAGTCCATGGTATATTCAACACTCTTCTCCAGCATCACAGCTCAAAGGCATCAATTCTCTTTCTATCATCCCTATTCACTGTCCAACTCTCTGAAGCATAGCACATAATTGGGTAGACTATAGCCCGGATCAGGCACATCTTAGTATCTAGCCTGATGTCATTGCTCTTTAGTACTCTTGAGAGGTCTTTCACAGCTGAGTTTCCCAATGCAATTCATCTCCTGATTTCCTGGCTGCTGTTATCAAGAGTGTTGACTGTGGAACCAAGTAAACTAAAACTGTTAACTATCTCAATCTCTTCACCATCCATACTAATGCTCTCAATTGGCCCAGTGATAAGAATCTTTCTTTTCTTGATGTTGAGCTTCAATCCATATTGAAGGCTGCAGTCCTTGACCTTCTGCAGCAAGTGCTTCAGGTTCTCCTCAGTTTCAGCAAGCAGGGTTGTGTCATCCGCATAACACAGGTTGTTGATGATTCTTCCACCAATCCTGATGCTACATTCCTCCTCGTACAGACCAGCGTCTCGGATGATCTGTTTTGCATACAGATTGAAAAGGTATGGAGACAAAATACATCCCTGATGGACCCCCTTCTTGATTTTGAACCATGTAGTGTCTCTTTGCTCTGTTCTGACAATTGCCTCTTGGTCCAAGTATAGGTTTTGCAATAGCACAATCAGATGTTCTGGGATTCCCATTCTTCTCAGAGTCAGCCATAGCTTGTTGTGATCTACACAGTTAAAAGCCTTTGCATAGTCAATGAAGCACAGATAGAAGTTCTTCTGGTATTTTCTGCTTTCTGCCAAGATCCATCTAACATTAGCTATGGTCAGGTTTAACCTAAAGAGGTTGAAATAAAGCTGCCCCTTGGAGTTTACTGAAATCAGTTGTCACCTCTCCTGAAGCCTTTCCTAACTACCCTCAGACATGGCTGCATGTTTATTTTCACTATCTCAGCTGTCTCCATGGGCTCCCCTCTCATATTCACGGTGCTCCACTCTTTCCAATTCGCTGTCAGTAGCTTGAAATCAACCATGGTGAGAGTATTTATAGCAATGAAATTGGCAAGCACAGCACTTCAGCCTTTTGTCCCTGTTGTGGTATACCATCAAGTTGGAACTGACTCGTAGTTGACCCTCAGAAGATTTTCAGATGCTTTAAATCACATAGTTGGAGATTCCCCAGCTTTCTTCTGCAGAGCATTTGGTGGGGTTGAACTGTATGCGTTAGGATAGACAGTGCAACTTCATTCCACTAGGCTGTCAAGCTCCCTTCCATAAACCCTATTGTTGTTGTTGTGTATCACTGAGTCAGAACCAACCTATAGCTGATTATCTGACAAGTTCTCAGAGGCAATTAATAGTGCAGGAGAAAATTGCTTATCCTTCTCCTGGGGAGCCCTTGGTGGATTTGAACCATGTGCCTTTGGGATTGCAGTATAGTCTCCTGCCACTAGGCCATTAGAGCGCCCTCTGTGTACCCTACTCCACTTCATTAAACAGCTGCAAGCATATTGCCAGTGACTCCTTCTCCCCTCATTTACTTGTTTCTGTCCCCTCCAAGCACAAGAACTTCAAATGCAGAACTTATTAATCTTATTAATGCTTTTATGTTTTTTGACATCATGTTGTGATTTTGATGCAAGTTTACAAAGCACATTCACCTTAACAACTCAACTCATTGCCATCTAGTCAGAAGTGACTCATAGCTGACTTCCATTCGTTTTTTCAGGAAGCTATAAATCAAGTGGATAATTGCCCACCTCATTCTGTGGAGCTGCTGATGGATGAGAACTGTCAGAGAACAGAGACACCACTTTTGAGTTAGTGCAATGCCCTAAGAACTAAGCCACCAGAGCACCCTACAAAGCACTTATGCATGCGATGTTTTGTAACATTAGCTGCAACGCACTCCTTATAACAGCACTCTTCTACTTTCCTCCCGAGTTTCTCTTATCTTTTTAAAGCTAGAAATGGTCTAATGTTAGTCAAGACTTAAGAGATAAAGATAATTTCTAAGACATGAGACATACTTTAGAGAATGTAGCATTAAATTATGGAGACAAGTTTCCCTTGCTGCTACCTTAATCCTGTGCAAACCCCACAAAGTCCCTATCAACTTCCTGCTCAGAAGCTCTCAGCAGCTCCCTCTGCCTCATTGCCAGAATATAAAGTCCCATAAGGCAGGAGTTTCCAGTTGTTTTGTTCTATAGATTGGATTCAATGCTCAGAAAAGATCCAAGTATGTAAAAGTGCTTAGTACAAACAGCAAATCATCCTCAAATGAAGAATTGAATAATAAAATTCCAACTCCTAAAAGCAGCACTTTTTTATTTTAGCTGCTACCCTGTGGATTCTGACGCATGGAGGCCCCTCATTAACCAATCTCACCTGCTTCAGTGGCTTGCTTCTCCCATAATGGGAGTCCATTGTGCCTTCACAGAACCCCAAATACCCCAGGGAGCTAGGAGCATGGAACTAGGCCTTCTTCCTTTGGTATGGACTTACCCCTCCCTCTCCTCTGTCTGTCCAAGGCCTCTTTGTTCTTCATCTGCCACCTCTTGAGCACTTTCTCTGTGTACTGTTTATCTGCCACCGACCTGAGACGTCATGTTGTTGCTGTTGTTGTTAGGCTCCATCAGGTCCCCTGTGACTACTAGGACCTCTAGAAACAGTAGCCCTGAACCTTGCCCTATCCTGCACCATCGCCATGATCTCTGTCTGAGCCCTTGTTACAGGCACTGTGTCAGTCCCTCCTGTTGGAGATCTGTCTCTCTTTCTCTGACTCTCCACTTTTCCCACCATGATTTCCTTTTACAAGGACTTGCCATTCCTGACAATATGCTCAGAGTAAGTGAGACAAGGTCTCACCATCCTTGCCTATAAGGAATAATCTGATTACACTTCCTCCAGCACAGAGGAAACTGGTTCTTTTGGCAGTCCATGGGATCTTTGGTACTTTTCTCTAACAATAAAACTCAAAGGCATCAATTTTTCTTGGGTCATCCTTATTAATTGTCCAATACCTTCAATATAGATTACCTCTCAACCTCAAGGAAACAAAAATCTTCACCACTGGACCAATAGACAACATCATGATAGACAGAGAAAAGATTGAGGTTTTCAATAACTTCCTTTTACTTTGACCTACAATTAACACTCAGGGTAATAGTAATCAAGAATATAAAAAGATGTCTTGCATTGGGGAAAATATGTTGTCAAGCCATGTCCAAAGTGTTAAAGAGCAAGGAGGTCAATTTAAATGCTAAGATGTGACTAACCAAGCGATGGTATTTTCCATTGCTTTCTATGCATCTTTTGATATTGAAGACTATACATAGTCTTTGACCTTCTACAGCAAGTATTTCAAGTCATCTTCACTTTCAACAAGCAAGATTGTGTCATCTGCATAATGCTGATTGCTGATGAGTCTTCCTCCAATCCTGATGCCCCATTCTCCAGCTTCTAAAATTATTTGGTCAGCATACAGACTGAATAGGTAAGAAGAAAGGATACAACTTCAGCCCACACCTTTACTGATTTTAAGTCATGCTGTCTTCTCTTGTTCTAGATGAGTATTTCCTGTCTTCACAGTGAAGTTTGAGCTCCTTGAAGACTCCTCGCAGCCCCTCGTGACCTTACACACAGTAGCTGGCTAAATGGGCTTGTGATTCTGGATACTCATCCACAGGAAACAATTTATTTGAGACCAGCATGGTGAATGCAAGCTGGCAGAGGGGGTACACTAGTGGAATGATACCAGGTTCAATTCCGGCCCCATGCCCCTCACATGTACCTGTCTGTAGTGGAGGCTTGTGTGTTGCTGCATTGCGAAACAGATTCCAGTGGAGTTTCTCGACTAAGAAGAACTAGGAAAAAGGCCTAATGATCCATTTCCCCAAACTAGCCAATGTCTGATCTGCAACTGGCCACAAGACAAAGACTGGCAGTGTTTTTTGCATATGATTCCATTTTGCATGCATAGGTTAGGGGTAAGCCAGGGATGCATCCTATCTCCATACCTTTTCAACCTATATGCAGAACAGATTATCTGGGAGGCTGGGCTCTATAAGGAGAAATGTGGGGTCAAGATTGGTGGACGATTTATCAACAATCTGCGTTATGCGGATGAAACAACCCTTCTTGCTGAAACTGAAGAAGA